GGAGAAGGAGGAGCCAGACGATGTGAAGCCGCGGTGGAACCGGCATTGGTGGGCCAGTCCTGGACGCAGACTACGACGTTGCCCATCATGCTGGAGTTGGTGTCAGGGCCTGTCATGTGGGTTAGGGACGATACGTGGTCACCGCCTCAGGCGTTGCCGCCTCCTGCAGTGCAACCGCCACAACCACCGCAGTCGCCACCCACCCACCTATGACAGCTATCACCCTTCATTGTTCGCAGCGTGGAGGAGGAAGACGTAGGTGACGACATGCAGTGAAGACGGACAGGACCGCGGCGATGGCCGGTCGGGTTTCCTTTTTAGTTTAAGTTTATTTTTTAAAATTTAAGTTAATGATATTGAACAGTTCGGGCGAGACTTTTGGACTTAATGTGATATATTATGGTTTAAATTGCTTATGTGTTTTTTAGACTTGAATTTAAATTTAAAATCTAGACGCTATTGCCAATGCACTGGCCGTTGGGTGCACTGACGGGCAAACGCTCGTGAACAAAGACCGGACAAAACACACGACCATTTGTGATCGTGCGTTGGAGTTGGCCTAACTACTAAATAAAGGAGGTGCACGAACTGTCAACACACACTTTCTCTGATTAAATAAGAGTATAAAACACGCCGTGATTACTAACTGCTTTACCCTCGCCACGAGGCATAAGGCCCCTGCTTTTTAAGCTTAGTAATTAAGTGGATATTTTTGTGTTTGTTGGATCATGCAGGGTCTTTAGGCCTAACGTGCATGCTAGGTATAGGCGTATAGCCTTTTCAGTTTGTAATAACTTGCGCGTGTAAGTTCAAAATATATATGCTTTATTCCCTTACACCCGTCCATATATTTTTGAATTGGCATAGCTGGGAAAGTTCTCTTTTATAATTCTTAGCAAAGTTTACTTGAGTATATATTTTAAGCCAAAGGTAAAAGCTAATCTCTCCAACCCATAATATATTTTAAGCCAGTTCTCTCAAAGTAAACAAATTAACTTTTTCTTTTGCTTTCCTTTGTACATAACTTTTATTAATGGAAAATTACCGTAGAACAATTGTTCTACGGTTTTAGGATAAAAAAACACCATACGCAAACTATTAGAAATGTATGATAGTCCGAATCAAATGGTAAGCCTTCGACCTCGATGGCAATCTAGTGGTTCCCTTGCACTGTCTCGTCTATTCACGGCTCATGTGTGACGTTCTATCATTTGGATCCAGCAGCCTCGAGTTAGTCAAACCCGCTTCTACACTTTGGATCCAGCGGCTTTGGTTAGGATGGATGATGCCTCCGAGGCATGGATGGGATTGGGCAACCCCTATAACGAGAGGGATTGAGTCCTTATTGGGGCCACTAATATGGTCACCAAGATTGAAGATGAAACAATAAATTGGCAGAGGCGGATGCAAAATGGATATTCTCATGTTGGGAGAGTAGTCACTCTGTGTGCTTTCATTCTTCGAGTTGTATTTACTCTAGGTTTTTCGCCAGCAAGTTTTTAAGTTCCATGCAAGGTCATTCCCCTTCTTAAGCAATGTAAAGGCAAAGCTTTGCCGTTGTGTTAAAAAAAGAACTCATTGTTTGTGAGCATTGTGTAACCACGAATATAATTTTAGCCAACCATATTACAACAGGCGGTTAAGGTTTCCGTGGGTGCGGTTTTTTGTTTTTGGTTGCCTGTTGGAGACCCAAATATATGACTCATATAACAATTTTCTTTGACCTGGGCCAAAAAATTTGGTCACCATGTAGGTTTCTATCTTCTGTTGGCGCCGTTTTTGACCTAAAAGATAAATTTTTGGCCGGGGCTATGTTTTTTGTCTGTTGTTGGAGATGGTCTAACTTGCAAAGGAAAGGTGCTATATATACATTATTTTTACTTGCAAAAATGGCATAAAACATGATGAAGTTTGCGGCAAGTCAAACTCGATAGCATAGTTTGTAAGGACTGTTCGCGTGAGATGGTAGTGATATGTAATTACCATTTTACCGATGGAGTAGTGGATTATAATCTATACAATACATACCTTCACCTCTCAGAGGGTGTCCATGTTCGGTACAACAAGCACTTGCAAACTCTCTCATCAATTATCTCTTCTCTAAAGCGCAACCATTTACTTAAGATTTTATAGCTAATGATGCTTTCATTATCATGGAAGCTTGGTTCTCACCATGCACACATTGATCGATGATGTAGGTACCGAACTCCACAGTCCACACTAGGAATCTTCCTGTCATGCACCCTGTTTTGGCGAGATGCGTTCACTGCTTTGGCTCCCAGCTATAAGGTCTACACTCATGGTCACTGCCCACGTAACTATGCCCGGATGCCACACCATGAGGTCTGTGCTAATGGTGGTTGATCTCGTGGCGACGGCTGACTCTTGCGCGGCGGCTAGGCATGTGTATGCAGACATTGCACCGTTGGCGTGTTCTGCTCCTCGCGCCGAAGTGGCCTTGGCCAGTTGTGCACGGTCTGGATCTTCGGCCTACAGCGTCGGCCTCGGCCTCGCTGCGGTTGTGATGCTACCGAAAAGTCTTCACAAGGGTTTCTTCCTTCAGATCTGGTGGTTAGGTTTGATGGTGAGAAGCAAACTATGAACATCAGCTTGACGTAGAGGGATGGTTGTGCAGCAGCGGTGGTCCACATCGCATGTAGCTGTTTGGATTACGGAAAAGTGATGGCGACAACACATGTGTGGCATTCATGGTGGTGCTATTTGAGCACCCGGTCTCAAGCTCCGGGGTGAAAACCTAGGTCCAACCTGAGTTGGTTATACCTGGCAATGGCGATGTTTTTATGTCGTTATCTTGTTGAAGGCATTGCTCGGATATACTCGGACTAGTTCTTCAGGATAAAAATCTAGATTCTGGCCTTGAACGGTTGGATCCAGCGACGGCGGCGCTTAAGCGTCACTCCCTTCCTGAAGGCGTTGCTGTTGAAGAACTTCATCGTTCGTGTGGTGTCATGAGGTAGTTGGTGCGAATATGGTCATTTATTGTAGTTTGTCGATTCGCGGATCCGATCACTTTCTCTTTTTCTTTTCTTTGCCTACGCATAGCTTTGGTCTTGTATAACTTTGCTATTTGCTGGCATGTTTTTGATGTGTGTGCGTAGTGTTGGCTGTGTGCATCCTAACTATGCAGAGGCCGGGTATGTACTCATTGTGTTTGTATCATTTTGATGCTTCATTTTGAGTCAATAAAATCCATCCTTTATCAAAGAAATGCACTCTGTGGGGAACCTAGCGAGTTAGTGCTTGCTTAATTGAAGTTTTTTTTTTCTTTACCAGGTGTACTTGTATATACAATCTTTATTGAGGCAAAGTTTAAAGTTTATGTGGATATATTTTAGTGTTTGCATTCTCTGAGCAGATAGATTTTAGTATTTGGAGATGCAATGATGCATATACCTTGCTGATTCGACAGCTCGCCACATCGAAGATCCTTTTGAGCCAGGAGTTTCATCATACAAAACAATGATTAAATTTGTCATATTTTGCACTCGACAAGAACGAGAGTACATGATTACCGAGATATATACACACACACGGGACTCGGCTGATGTTGTGTTTGGTAGAGCATATCTGGGATCCACTGGCACATCACAGGTGTACATTTGTGTCAACGAATGAACGTTTCAGGTTAGTTTCCGATGCTTTCTGTATTATTTGAGTTCAGAAGTTGGTACGTGCTTGTTTTCTCTCTGTTTTGGCTAGGATCAGTTCGGTGAGCATGAAATTTTACTTTTAGGAAACAAAAGGATTGCGTTCTTTTTTTTTTTTTGCCAGGGAAAAAGGATTGCGTTCTCTTTTGATAGTCAAGTAGTAGTATTTGATAGCAAAAGGACCGCACTTTGTTTTGAAGCTACCACCCGTGGTTAATCCTTATCCAACGATGGAAATAACAGAGCCACTTTAATCCAGACGAATATTCCCCAGTAAAACCTCCCATAGAATAACAGGGCGCACATATCCAGCAACTAACTCAAACAGCTAGCCGCAACGACCATGGATCTATCTGACCAGAGTTTGTTTGAGAATTCCGGGCAAATAAGTTGGGATAAATTAAGCACGGGTTAGAACAAAAAAAATTAGGTGTTTTTATCTCTCGTACGTCTACACGAAGTTGTTTGCACGCGAGCACACAAACACAGGTTCCATTGCGGATAGGTCACATCGCCCGGCGAACACCACAAGTACCAACACAAGCATGCGTGCGGCCGGGTAGTCGAGGCTGGCAGGGTCCGACCGAGACCTCCAAACCAACCACTAACCGACCACGCAAAAACAAACAAACAAATCGAATATAAACCTAAACTATAACTACGGTTCCTCGATTGCCTCCTGTCCGGTGCCTTCTCCCTCCCCGGATCGATCCTCCTCTCCTAGCGGTCCGCCGCAAGCTCAGCTCCTCCTCTTAGCCCACCGGCCGCATGCTAGCTCCTCCTATTCTCGTTCTGCTCCACGAGTTAAGGATCAACCCATACACAAGAAGTGCTACTAGTTAGTTATCCGAAAACCAGACCCCAGATCTCCAACCTCTGCGGACAGCCAGATACCCCCAAAGCGATGCATCTAACACAGACCCTGGTTAGGTGACGACTGCTAGCGCGCAGCTCGATCGAGCCGGCCGTTAAGGTTCTACCTACATGCATGCATATCCGCAAGCAATATTCCAATCCAAGATCAAAATGCCGCTGAACCCAGCCACCACTCCCTACTTCTAGGGACGAGAAACCAGCCGAGAGGAGGAGATACTAGTCGTATACCCACTAGATTCCATCTTCTCTGCTATTTTTGGAACAACAGTTCCGCTAGCTTCCTCCTCCACCGCTCCATCCCATCCGCTACCCCATGCTTCGCGGGATGAGAAATAGAACAAGGCCACAGATATGTGACTGCTTATATACACCTTAACCTCTTCCTTGATCGACCACAGTGGATAGCAAATAGTATCTGCAGCTGACGCTCGCCGCCGCTTCATCATCCACGACGTCATGGACTGCTTCGCGGAGGCTGAAGGAAAGAGGTCGCATGACCCGTTGTACTGCAACCCCCACTCGCCACCGGCTACCGGCTTCCCTGTCGACAACATCCCCGCGCCGGTCGTCATCGTTGGAGCAGGGCCGGCTGGGCTGGGGATGGCCGCACTGCTCGGCGAGGCTGGAGTTCCATACAAGCTGCTCGAGCGGTGTAGCTGCATCGGCTCCCTCTGGAGGCACCGCACCTACGACAGGTTATGTTTGCATCTCCCCAAACAATTCTGTGAGCTCCCACTCATGCCATTCCCAAAAAGCTTCCCCACGTACCCGACAAGGGACCAGTTTCTGGAGTACCTCGAGTCCTATGCAAGGAGGTTCAACATCGAGCCACAGTTCCGCCAGGCCGTCGTCAGCGCCGAATTCAATGGAGACTTTTGGTGGATTCGCACAAAGGAGGTCACCTCACTACCAATGGGCGGTGAGCAGGCCACGCACAGCGGCAAAACAACTTTGTACCGCTGTAAGTGGCTTGTTGTTGCCACCGGAGAGAATGCCGAGCCAGCGGTGCCAGAGATCGAGGGCACCGGAAGGTTTAAAGGGCAGCTCATGCACTCGTGCGAGTACCGTAGCGGTGCAGGGTATGCTGGAAAACAAGTGCTTGTCGTCGGGTGTGGAAATTCTGGGATGGAAGTGTCTCTGGACCTTGCTAATCACAATGCAATAACTTCTATGGTTGTTCGTGGCACGGTGAGTCTAATTTATTTTTTCTTTGGAATTGATCGAACATTTCTTATCTTTTATAAAATTTATCATTGTACTATGTGTTTTCTATTTAACAAAGCACACCACTTTAGAAATTACTGAGGTATTTCTTTTCTATGCAATCACCATGTATAATTAAATGTTTTTTGATATGTTATTTGTCAATTACCCATTCCTTCCATTATGATATACTTATTAATTTTACGCTATTCATTATGTAACTTTTTTCCATACAAATCATCACATATATCTTTTAATTCTAGGGAATTAGTGATGTAATTGTTTTGCCACATTTTTTTCCAACCAGATCATACTATTTATCTTAAAAAAATTATCATGAAATTTTTTCCGAGGAAAATCACCACATAATTGACATGATTTTTCTTGGTAAAATGTTTCATTAACTTGTTACTTTATTATTAGTCAGTACATATTAACCAATGCTAGCACCACATGTTTCATTTCAAACACTATTATCTTTATGATGTTATATTATCAATATATTAGATAATGTTTTTTAATTTAATGTGGCCACGAGGCATACTATTTATCTCCGGACATTTTCACACATCTAAGTAAAATGATAACAACAAAAGTCGCAGTCTCCTATTTGTGTGGGCCCATGGCTAACTTTACTTTTTTCGTGTTAGTTTATAGTATTGTGCTTAATTTATAATTAAGCGTATCTTTAACAATATGTAATACTAATTGATGTATGGCTAATGGTTTTTTTTAGTTGCATGTTCTGCCTAGGGAGATGCTAGGGCGCTCCACTTTTGGGATCTCTTTGTGGCTTCTCAGGTGGTTCCCTGTACAAGTTGTGGATTGGCTTCTCCTTATGATGGCACGCTTCATTATGGGCGACACAACCAACATTGGTATTACTCGGCCAAGCCTTGGCCCAATGGAGCTTAAGGGCGTTTCTGGTAAAACGCCAGTTCTCGATGTCGGAACCATAGCAAAGATTAAGTCTGGAAGTATTAATGTAATTTCTATATTTTGTTATTACATATCTTAAATTTGATTAACTTGTTATATAATCTCTTTAGTGACATAGTTTTTTCTTGGATAATGCAGGTTTTTCCAGGAGTGCGGTGTTTTCATGAGCATGGTGTGGAGTTTACTGACGGAAGAACCGAGAACTTTGATATTGTTATTCTTGCCACAGGTTACAAAAGCAATGTACCTTACTGGTTAAAGGTATAAATATACACTACCCAACCAACAATATTGTTACAATCGCATGCAAGTAAGTATATTCAACCTGTTAAACCTTCTATGTGCAGGAGAAAACTTTTTTCTCGGAGAAAGATGGCTTCCCAAGAAAGTCAAAAGAGTGGAAAGGAAAAAATGGTCTCTATGCTGTTGGCTTCTCAAGGGGTGGACTTTTAGCAGTGTATAAGGATGCAATCAAGATCTCAGAGGATATTGTTCAACAATGGCATGATATGTGTACGGAAGATGTGAGAGAAACTTCATCCAATCGAAGAGCACCATGTCCTATTTGATCAAATTATTTCGCGTACTAGTCAATCTGGTGTAGGCATGCCAGATCAGAAGATGCATATAACTAGATCAGGCTAGCACGCTTCAAATTTTTTTCCCTCACACTTGTACACTCATAGAATAGTTTATTTGTTTGTAGTTTTTCAATTATTTTAAGGAAATCATAAATTCATTTGATTTTTTTTCCTATTTTTGTTTTAGATTTAATTGTAAGAAAAAGGATACCTCTCGTGGTATTTTATAAACATGCAATATATCTTTCTTTTTTGAAGTGTTGTGACTTTATTTGTCTTATTTATGTTTAGAATTATTTAAAAAATTGAGAAATATTCATATGTACTCATATATTTTTATTAATTAAAACTATGATCATGAAACTTTACTTACTAATATGTTAAAATCTTTAAATGATCATTTGCAGTATTGAATATGAGTAAATGTGCGCGCACACACACTCATGTGATGCACCTTTCTTAATATATAGTTCTACATATATAGATCGGTATAGAATGTTCGAGTAGTAGCTGATATTTTCTATAGAGACCATTTGTGTTCAGGTAACCAGTTTACTCATTTTCTTAAGTGGGCAATTCGGTAAGTGCAACTCAGTAAGTTTGCAGTAACCATTTTCTTAACCATCTGTTAATTTTTTAATCAATGAGAATTGGGTAGATTTATATTTATGAATTAAGTGCAACTCGGTAAGTTTGCAGTAACCATTTCTTTAAAAGTACCAATTATGTTTCCATTATGCTTTAAACCTTGACATTTGCACCATAACTTACATGTTGGTCTATATGTAATTCAGAAATAAAAAGAACTAGCAATTGTGGGAGACGAGATTTAATAGTATTGCAAAGATGTACACCGAGAAGGTGATAACTGACTCAATATGCAAATCCCTTTGCATGTTTAACCTTGTGTATATAGTTGTGCAAGTCTTTACTCATGCATATTTTGCTAGCGTCCATATTCTAAAGCTGGAATATATAAATGGTAGCCAGTTTATTGTATAGTTATGCATCCCTGCTCTTTGGCTTTCCACGAATAGCAATTACATTTTTCATATCCCTTCACCCCTCATACGGTAACACCTTCATTTTCCCACTACGTAGGGGAATCAGAGAGACTGGAGCTGGGAGGGGTGTGTGAGTTAGGCTGGTGATCTATTGTCATATGTAGAGTGTTCCATTCAACTGAAGTGATCCATAGATGAATCCAGGCTCATCTGTTCCTCATGAATAGTTTATTTAAATAAAATGATAAAAAGATATAAAAGTACATGAAATATTTTTGGCATCCAAGATGCTTGAGTTTGGAAGGGCATGCAAAATTTCGTGGTGAAATGACATTCGAGGAGCCCAACACAAGAAAAAAGGGTCTCCAAAATGCCTTTCGAAAAGTTTCTTTGAGAGTTGAAATTTTTGTGTGTAGAGCTCTGTGAATTTTATTTCACCATAAAATTTTGGCATGCTCCTTGTACACTCAGGCCTCCAGTGTCGGTGCTAAATCCATCATATCTTGAGGTAGGGATCCTAAGCTAGGCGTCTTGGTACGATGGTAACATGGACACAAGATTTTACCCAGGTTCGGGCTCTCTCGAAGACATAATACCCTATGATACGTCCATTTTGCATCATGGTTTCCTATTGATATTTATTGCATTTGGACTGTTATTTCACTTTATGATACTATTCTTATGCCTTTCTCTCTTATTTTGCAAGTTTCACAAGAAGAGGGAGATCGCCGGCAGTTGGAATTCTGGACCAGAAAGGGGTGCAACAGAGATAGCTATTCTGCACAACTCCAAATGAATATAAAGAATATAGGCGAAAGAAGTACCAGAAGGGGACCCACCAAGAAGCCACAAGCCTGGGGGTGCACCCTAACCCCTAAGGAGCTCCTCCAAGCTTGTGGGGCCCCTGGTAGGCCTCCGAGGCCCATCTTCTCCTATAGGATGCTATTTGCCCTAGAAAAAAATCGGAAGAAGATTTTCAGGCGAAGCGCTGTTGTCTCGAGGCGGAACCTAGGCAGGAGCACTTTTTCTCTCCGGCGGAGTGATTCCGCCGGAGAAACTTCCCTCCGGGGTGGGGAAATTGAAGCAATCGACATCACCAACAACCCTCTCATCGTGGGAGGACTAATGAAACTGCAACTATCCCTGGGTGGTTTTGGTAATTACTAACAACATATAGCTCATTGAACTAATGCTATTTCAATATGATCATTTCAGAAAGTTCAATGATTGGCATGGCAGGGATTAGGAATATGGACCCCTCAAAATTCTAAGGACACATATTGGCTGAAGCTCAAGACTCTACATTTTCGTTTTAGTGATCCAAGATCACATTGGGTCCATAGGAAAAGCCAATACTATTAAAAGGGGATGAGGTGTTGCTTAATGGCTTGCTTGCTCAAAATGCTTAGTGATATGCTCCAAAAGCCCTCAACCAGTCAAACTCAGCCCTACCGATTTGATCTATCCGGCGCCACCGAGTTCAGTTGACATAGCCACTGCCAGAAACCCTAGTAACTTCGGTCTCACCGATAGGGATCTCGGTCTCACCGAGATGGGATTGCAAACTCTCTGTTTCCCTTCGTAACATTTCAGTCCAACCGAGATGAGCGATCAGTCCCACCGAGTTCGCAATGCAAACTCTCTGTTTCCCTTTCGTAACGTTTCTGCCTCATCGAAATGAGTGATTCGGTCCCACCGAGTTTACCTGACCAACTCTCTAGTTAGCTTATTACCAAAATCCGTCCCACCGAGTTTGTGTAATCAGTCCCACCGAGATTACATTATACCCTAACCCTAATGTAATCGGTCCCACCAAGTTGACATGTCGGTCCCACCCAAAATCCTAATGTTCACATTTTGAACTAAATCGGTCTGACCGGGTTTCATGATTCGGTCCCATCGAGTTTGGTGTTTGTGTGTGACAGTTAGATTTTGTGTGGAGGCTATTTATACCCCTCCACCCACTCTTCATTCGTGAAGAGAGCCATCAGAACGTGCCTATACTTCCAACATTCATTTTCTGAGAGAGAACCACCTACTGATGTGTTGAGACCAAGATATTCCATTCCAACCATATGAATCTTGATCTCTGGCCTTTCCCAAGTTGCTTTCCACTCAAATCATCTTTCCACCAAATCCAAATCCGTGAGAGAGAGTTGGGTGTTGGGGAGACAATCATTTGAAGCACAAGAGCAAGGAGTTCATCATCAACACACCATCTATTACCTTTTGGAGAGTGGTGTCTTCTAGATTGGTTAGGTGTCACTTGGGAGCCTCCGACAAGATTATGGAGTTGAACCAAGGAGTTTGTATGGGCAAGGAGATCGCCTACTTCGTGAAGATCTACCCTAGTGAGACAAGTCCTTCATGGGCGTTGGCCATGGTGGATAGACAAGGTTGCTTCTTCGTGGACCCTTCGTGGGTGGAGCCCTCCGTGGACTCGAGCAAGCATTACCCTTCGTGGGTTGAAGTCTCCATCAACGTGGATGTACGATAGCACCAACTATCGGAACCATGCCAAAAATCTCCGTGTCTACATTGCGTTTGCTCCCTCCAAACTCCTCCCTTTACCTTCATGTGCAATGTTTTACATTCCACTGCTATACTCTTAGACTTGCATGTGTAGGTTGATTGCTTGACTTGTACTAAGTTACTAAAATCTGCCAAGAATTAAAATTGGGAAAAGGATATATTTTTATTTGGTCAAGTAGTCTAATCACCCCCCTCTAGACATACTTTCGATCCTACAAGTGGCATCAGAGCTTTCATCTCCATTTGCCTTGATTTTCATAGCTTTTGGTGATCATAGCCTTAGTTTCAAAACCTAGGAGAGTATGGCGTCTAGCGAGGGAAATTACCACCATAGAGGTCCTTACTTTGATGGTACTAATTTTGCTAGTTGGTAGCATAAAATGAAAATGCATATTCTTGGACATAACCTCTCCGTTTGGGCTATTGTGTGTATTGGCTTGCAAGGTGAATTCTTTGATGGGAGAGAACCGAACTATGAAGCTACCGTGGAAGAGTTGAAGATGATGCAATACAACGCTCAAGCTTGCGATATCCTCTTCAACGGATTGTGCCCCAAAGAATTCAACAAAATCAGCCGTCTTGAGAATGCAAAGGAAATTTGGGATACTTTGATTGATATGCACGAGGGTACCGACTCCGTCAAGGAATCCAAATTGGATGTGCTTCAAAGTCAACTTGACAAGTTCAAAATGAAGGATGGTGAAGGTGTCGCTGAAATGTACTCTAGGCTTGCTCTCATCACAAATGAGATTACCGGCTTAGGAAGTGAGGAAATGACCAATAGATTCATCATCAAGAAGATCCTAAGAGCCTTGGATGGAAAATATGATACCATGCGCAAATTGATCCAAATGATGCCCAATTACAAAGATCTCAAGCCAACAGAAGTCATTGGAAGAATTGTTGCTCATGAGATGTCACTCAAGGATAAGGAAGAGCTTCACAATAAGTCTAGTGGTTCTTACAAAGCCTCATGTGATGCTCCTACATCATCAAGTGAGAAACAAACCTTCAATGAGGAATTGAGCCTAATGGTGAAGAACTTCAACAAGTTGTACAAGAATAGAAGCAAGGAAAGAAGTTCCAAGTCAAGGTCCTACAATGAAAAAAGATCTTCGAGTCGTGAACGTAATTGCTACAATTGTGGAAGACCCGGACACTACTCCAATGAGTGTACGGCTCCCTACAAAAGAAGAGAAGATTCACCCAAAAGGAGAAGTAGAAGAGAAGAATCTCCACCAAGAGAAAGAAGGAGTAGAGATGATCGTTATGAATGAAAAACACCACAGAGAAGCAAGGATTCGAAAAGGAAGGACAAGTCATCAAGGAGCTACACAAAATGAAGACATCAATCTCATGTTGGTGAATGGGTATCTGGCTCTGACTCCGACAATCACTCCGAGAGAAGTTATCACTCTGACTACGAATATACTCAAGATGAAGGTGTTGCCG